ATTTTGTTGATCTCAGACTCATAATACACAAAGAGAGCTGAATAGTTCGATGTTTATTAGCAAAGATACTTGGCCTTTAAATAGCCAAAGATGAAGACTCAGTCTTCTTACAATAACTTGAAACAGAGATTGCATGAAACAAACTAAAACAAACCGAAATACTTGGTCTACTAATTGACTCCTATAGAACCGGAACTTAATAGCTAACTGAATTGACTAAATCAAACCCAACAAATATTAATGTTCGTTTAACTAAAATAAACTTCTTTATGAGAAAAAGTATAATGTGGTAGGGAAATAATAGAGGTTCCATAACTTCATATAATTGAAGCCAATGTATCCGACTTTTGATATATAGTACAGGAAATCTTTTTATTTTTTTTAAAAGTTCAACGTAAAGCGATATTCTTCAACAAATCGATCCTAATTATAAATATTTAAAATGTAACAAAATTTGGATACATCGTTGTGGACCGTAATACTGTTATTAGACACTCAATAATTTGGAGTTGAATTTACATTATTGATGCACGTTCATACGAAAAAAATTAAATAAAACCAATAATGATGCACGCACGTACATAGAAAGACCCGAAATCTCTCGTTAGGTAGACCGAATGTATCTAAATGGGACCCGACCGACCCGACCCGGTCTAGTTAGACCCCACCCATGGTCCTTCACGTGATGCACCATAAGCCTAGCTTCGTGCACCCCATCCGCCGGAGAATAAACCTCCGGCCACCTAAGCTTGTCTGCTTGCTGATTCTGTTTGCCACGTGTCCTCTCTTCACTCCTTTCTACTCTCCTACTTCGCCACGTAACCTTCTCCATGTTTCCCGATATACCCCTAACTTTCCCTCTTATTACGCCCTCGCTTCCGCTCTTCTTATGCAAACGAGAGGGTGTTTTAGTAATTTCAAGAGACAATAATATTACGTGAGCTGTCCTGTCTGATTTTGAACACTAAACGACAAAAATCTAACGTTGCTTGAAGTTTCCGAATCACGAGGCTCCNTTTATTTCTTCTTCTTATTCTTCCATTTCTCTACTCATTATATATACAAAGTCCCCACGAGGTTTTGTATCTCCTTCAAAAATCAAGAACAAGA